TTCACCATCTGATCCCCTGCAAGTGCCAGCTACTTTTGTATCTGTTTTGCTCCCATGGTGATGGCAGCTTTAGAATCTGCTTCCTCCACACCCCTTGGATCAAAACAAACCTTTTTCTTGAGTTTTAAGGTATGTTATGAAGCGCGTGTATTATATGTAGGTTTTGAATAGAAAGACAAGCTGAACGCTGGCTAAATGGGAAATTTTTTTTGAAGTTTTTGGTGTGAATTGCTCATATGCTGACAGACTTCGGTGCATCTATAAAAGTCTCCTGTATATTGGGAAGACAAGCAGTTCAGAGGTGTACTCCTGTGGTCCACTTTTGTTTAGCAAAGGGAGGTGGCAAGATCCAGTTGTCACTTAGTAGTGACATGAGTCTGTGAGTTATAGGAGTTTCTGGAGTTTGTTGCGAAAGTGAGAGATTCTGAAAGGGCACGTACCATGTTTCTGTGCATATCATTCCTCCCCTGTCATTGCAAAGTGGCTCAGGTGCAGCAGATGGCTGTGTGGCTCCTGGATGCCATGAGGCCTGTGAGAACTGCTGGAGTCCTCACCTTCAGCTGTGGTGACCCCCAGGGCTGTCCCTGTGGTGTCTGAGAGATGGTCAAAGTTTTGGTGTGGGTAACAAGAATGAGGTGTATAAACAGAAGAAAACAGTATTTTATTGCTGCTAAATTAGAAAAGACCTGACTACTGTTTATCTGCAGTACCATATAGGTTTAAAATTGTTGTTTTTCACATTTTTTCTGGTTGGTATTTTGTGTACTAAATACAGATGAGCATGCACAGACACATACAATCTACAAATCTATTAATGATTATCCTCTATTGTCCTTTGAATTTTTTCTTTTGCTGTCATACAGGTGCACACATATATTAGCTATGTGCACATGTGCATTTACCTGCTTCTGTTGCTGGTACCTTGTTTCCGAAGGTCAGCCCTTTACGTATACATTTGATGGTGTGACAATGCTGAGGTTTGTTTAAGGGTGGTAATGAACAGCGTACATGCAAAAGGTTCTTACCCTTTGCTTTCCAAGTGGTGTTGCAATAATTGAAAACATGCTTTAGTAGGCTCTTAGAATTTGATTACAAAAACTGTAATTTTTCTGGATTCTTCTGTGCTAATGTCAAGGAGTTTTATGCTGCTAGTTTATAAATGGAGAAAATACTGACCTATAAAGAGTGTAATACTGAGCAGCAGTTCAGTTGCTTCTGTGTCCTGCAGACAGGCAGCCTCATTTGGTGAGATTTGGAATTTAACATGCAGATTATCAGGCCAAACCTCTTCTTGTCATCAGACAGACCCTCATTTTGTATAGTAGGGATTAGCACAGTTAAATTGTATTTTGAAATGGTTGTTTCAGCCCCCTGTCTGATTAGGGCTGGTTGCTGATTTAGGGGATTTTACTTTGTCCCCATGCCTTATTCTCACCCATCTGAAAGGGTATTTGCTTTACTTCTCGTGGCTGGCTACGTAATAGCAGTATAGGGATTGTATTACACTTCCCAATCTGTCGATATGAAGGACTGGGCAAGAGCGTAACAAACCAGTATTGCTTCAACTCCCTGTCTCCAAGGTAAGGTTAATCAGCTTTTGCTGAAAACAGCAATCAGGGATTGCTTTATGTCTCTTAGTTGTTTTTTAACTTCTTGGTGTCAGATGCTTCAGTGCATGCAGTGCCAGAAAGACACTTGTGCTCACTGGATTAGTAGTGTCACTTTTGCACAAAAACATTTCAATATTGTTTTCCCCTGATCCAGTAATGAGTCTGATGTGGTAGTTAGGACTCCAAACATCATGCTTTCTGTCTCTAAGCTGGAGTTTAACTTATTTTGTGTTTCCAGCATCTTTCACATGTTGTGGCAATTTTTCATATTTCATTATTAAAGAACTTTAACTATCTTTTCTGGTTCAAGTCCTGTGCCTTAATAGCTTCTTAGTTTAGCTGCCATTCTTCATTTTGCTGAAAAGAAACAAGATAGGATTTCATCCAGACCCTGCCAGTGGTGTTTTATAATCTCTGTGAATATGTAGCCGCGTACACTTCACAGTTTTTAATGTAAGTAAAAATTCAGGGGGAGGGGACACTTTTCTAATAGGAATTGTACTCTTTGAAGTAAAAACATTCTCTCTACATGTGTGTGCTTTCCTGTGAAAGCTGATAGCTTTTTACTTTAAACATGGAAAACATAGCCCTTGTGGATCTCCACAAGTCTGAACATTGACTAAGGTATTCTTCAAAAAGCCACTGAGGATTTATTACTCCCAGTTTACAGCTGGAGAATATGAGGAGATTGTTTAGTTGGTGGCAGTACTTTCACCCTGGTTGAGAACAGAGATGACTGGATTTGAGAAATGGGAGATTCTGAGCCTTGTGCTTCTTTTTGCTAGTGCACACCCTGCTGCAGTTGAAATAGGCAGACTAAACCTCTTACCTGATTAGAGTTGGTTTAAAGCTTTTTGGTTTGTGTTATATGTCTCTTCCATTCAGAGATGTGAGTGAGAAGTACTCACAAAACACATAGCTTGCATTCAAGAGTTTTGCTGGGCTGTGTTTCTGCAACTATGGATGATGCATGCAAAATGCATGGTTTCTTCAGCTGTAGTGAAATCACTTCCTTGCACAGTGCCTGATTTGTTCTATCAGTGAAATGGGAAGAATGATTGTAAGTACCTGTGCTATGTATTTTGAGACCTATTAAAGACTTGAAGAAATTGCAGAAGACATAAATGCTGTGGCTCTGACGGGGAGGTTGTTAGTACAGACTTAAAATGGAAATTTGCTGAAAAACCAATAAAGTTAGCAAATGTTGACAAAGGTAATTTGCACTTTGAAAAGCTAGTTGTGTTTGCATAAATATGTGTATATGTGCGCACACACAAAATATATGTAATGTGAGTATATAAAAAAATGAGTTAAAGCTTCTGTACTTTATGCCTCAGCATACTGATGGTGTTCACTGACACTCTGTTTGAAAGTGAAGAAATACTTTTGAATCTCTGCCTGTTTAAGCCCTCCTTGGAATTTTGAGAACTTGGAAAACTCATGGTAGTGTTACTGTCACTTGAACAGGTTCTCATGTTGAGTTTTGGTTTCTACAGAAACAGAGGGATCGGATTGGGCAGATGAGCATCCCACTGGTGTGATACAGAACTGAACTGATGTGCCTGGCTTCTGGGTCGTTCCTTGGCCCTTGATCATTTTTGCTAGCCAACATAAGATTCGTGTGTATTAGCTTGGATCACAGTCTTGCACAGAATTTTGTTCTTTCTCTATTACTTTCATTTATTATTACTTACTTTTTATGCAATGGTAACATGCACAAACCAACCAGACTTGGACCATGTTGTGGTAGACATTGTAAAACATAATAAATGGCAGCATCTGCCTCTAAGAGTTTTTACTCTAAAAAAAAAAACCCCAAGATCCTGCAAACATGCTGTATTTACATATAAGCCTCTGATACCAAGCAGAAATGTATGTGTCTTGTGTTGCTCTGATTATTGTGTAATTTACTACACAAATATATACTTCCACTCAATCAGAAATTTACTATATGATTATATGTATTTAGTTTCCTTCAGAGAAAAAAAAAACATTAGATTAGGGTAAACCCGTTCTCAGCAAAAGCTTGAGAGAGAATGCAGGATTGGACAAAACATTTATGCATCCAAAACAATAAGAAGTTTGAAAGTCATATGACTTCAAAGAGAATGGTTGATTGGCGGGTTGACTACTAGAGAGGTCTTTATCACTTATTGTAAGTTTATAACTTCTAAGGCACTAAAAGTTCCTGTCAGCCATGTTATTAAAAAAAAAATCTGAACTGAGTAATTCTTTTTTTATATAATGTAATGCTACTGCTTTAAAATAAATTTTCCTCAAGTTTGCTGCTGATAGTAAATAATTGTATTTTTTGTGAAGATGTTTGTGATGACAGTCACAAAAGAATCATGGATGCTGGAATTCATTATTAAGCATGAAACTGAGGATACTGTAGCTGACAGCTTTGTCTTACATCAGGCAAGTCATAGATTTCTCTGCTAGGAGACAGGTAAAGATAGAGTGAGTACCTGGAGAGACCAAAAAATGGAGAGAAATTCACTTAGCCCTGTAACTGTAAGAGAGCTATAACTAGAAAAATACGTCCCCAAAACAATTGGTTCCAAGTCAATTCACTTATCTGCTGATTGCATGCAATTGCAATTCTCTTCTCTTCTCCATGTGCAGTGACTCATAGATATGTTCTTGGAATTCTGCTAAAAAAAATTCTGAAGTGTAATGATCTTAAAACAGGGAGGTCATCTTTATTTGAGGGAAGATCATTGTATGTTGTTTACTCCACTTTAATATTTCATGTTCGTCTAGAAGTAAATTATGCTTGGTAAAGGTCAACATTACGCAACTGAATCTCATGTATATACACAGTTTATACGTTTTGTTCTCACTAGTGCAGTTCATCATAGCGTGATCATTGTGGTTATCTCTAGAAAAGGAGAAAAACCACTTGGTACTATAACTCTAGCTGTTGGGTTTTCATATTTGCATAAATTTCACATTTTTTCTAAATGTGTTGTACACACAAGCATCACTTAGATTCATTGGTACATCTCCAGACTCATTGTATAGTATGTATGCTATAGGAAATATTACAGAAATGCAAGTTTCAATTAATTTAAAGAAGGCTTTTTAGGGGCACAAATGGATGTGGAAGTTTAGCAGAAACAAGCCCAAGCAGTGTATGTGTTAGTTTTGGGGTATGATAATTTTTTTTGTAGAAGATTACTGTGCTACTACTCGTCTAAGTGTGTACATGATAACTTCAAGGGGAAGAAAAGATGATTTGGTGTAAAGGGGAAATTGTATAAATTTTGAGGGTTTAAAAACAACCTAAAACTTAGACTGTGTATTATTTTAAATCAGTTGAAAAAGAGTATTTTTTTGCTTACACATTTTATAATTTAACACTTAAAGACTTTTGTGCTTTGTGTGCAGGTATATGTCTCGAGTCCATGGTATGCATCCAAAAGAAACCACACGTCAGCTGAGTTTAGCAGTCAAGGATGGTCTTATTGTTGAAACCCTGACGGTGGGGTGTAAAGGGTCAAAAGCTGGTATTGAACAAGAAGGATATTGGTTGCCAGGAGATGAGATTGTGAGTATAAAATCTTTGAGCAAATAAATCACGATTTCTGGTATCTTAGCATCAAACTTGTTTTAATTTCTATTTCAAGTTATTTATAGATGCTGTGTCCCCTGTGAACTGGGAACTAATGCACTCTAAACTTTTTTAACCTTTTCTTTTCCATAGAATCTCTTTCTTCTTGAATTCTGAGTTTTCTGCTATGAAACACTGGCAAAATCCTTTGCTCAGTCATCACACTTTTATGTAGTATTCTCTTCTACAGCTATACCGGAAGACAGTAAATATTGGTATTACTTGAAATCCTCAGATGTCCTCAAATCCCAAAGACGGTATCTTTAAAGGAAAAAAAAAAAAAAAAAGAAGACGAGTTTTTGATTAATCTTGCTTTAATCTGATCCTGAGGAAGGAAGAACTCCTCCCTTTCAAAAGTGCAACAAGAAGTTGTACATTTATATACAAACACACATGAAAAGATGTGCTTTACAGATATTTGTGAACACCAGGACCCTCAGTTAGGAAGGATTTTCTTAGCAAATTAGTTACAGGCATCCAGACATTGTTCCACTGGATATGTAAAGTAAATATTTAAATCAAGTTAAACAGGTTGAAAGTTATGTGAAGGGAAGAAAAGCATGTTTTCTCTATCCCTCCATAGCTCTGATGGAATGCACTTACAAAGTTAACTGAGAATAGTCCATAGACCAAGAAGAAACTTGCGCAATTGCTTTGCCTTGTTCAGAATCCCAGACTCTGTATCTACAAAACCACGTTTTCATAATGAAAAAAAAAGTTTGGCAAAGCTTTAAAATACTTGAGCTAGGAACTGTTAACTGTTGCTTTGGAATATAAATTGCATTAAATACTGGTAAAATGAACAGCATTGTCTTAGACATAGATAATAATTTAAATTTTGATGAAAACCAGAAAAACTCTACAGGAAAATAAATTCTAAAAACCACCGAAATATTCATTGCATTATTGCAGCCATCAATAAGATCCTGAAAGTGAAACAACAGATTATTTTTTGTTTTAAAGTGGGAGAAATATAAAGTGGAAACAAGCATTATCCATAATAGAAAACATTATGGTCAAAATTATCTGTTACACTAATTTAAGGTATTGAAATATGTATTTAATGTTCATTACGTCACTGTTAAGTTTCTCATCCGAATTTCATTAGAAATCCTCAAGGGAGCCTTTAAAGGGTATGTAGCTTTGTTTTTACTATTCTCCCTAGGAGTAAACATTTCAAAATAAGTTCTTTCAGGTATTTCTTATTTCAGTTTTAGCAGTTTAAAAGTGATGTTAACTGTGTAGACTCAACATGATATAAAGTCTGAGATCTGTAGTTACCTCAAGTATTCAGTATGTTTTTTTCCTCTATTGCTAAGAGAGGGGAAAAAAAAAAGAATCAAAATTCTTCACAATAGCCATTTCTTAAATGGTCATTCAAAAAATGCTACTTACTAGCAACATTTGTCTAACAAAACTTGTAAGATAACCAGCATGTATATTCCGAGTGAGTCACTAGAATTATGTAATTATTTTATCTCGGAATGAAGAGTTCTCTTTGTCTTGACTGAAGATGCTGCTCAAGTCACATTATGAATAGCCCTTTGGTTAGAAGTATTGGCTGTATTTTCAGCATGACTGCTAATCACTGATGCATTGTGCTGTGTCCATATGTCTGATAGCCATCTCAGTTGTTCAGAACACCAGTGCACACTTGACTTAACAGTTTTATGCAAAAATTGGAATCGGCTTCTGATCCAGGCCATGTTTCAACAGTATCCAACCACCAACTTCTTGATCCTAACACTGAATCAAAATGCTTCAGACACATGAAGCAAAACACTTTGACTTGGTATAAAGTCATTCTCTTTGTTCTTTTATTCAAAAAGTATTAATGAGTAACAAAGTGTCATTGTCATCACTTGACATCAGATCAAGTATTTTCCATTCTCCAACAATTGGTGCAAAACCATGAAGTTTGGTATGTTCTCTATGTTGGACACAATGGATAGTTTTACAGATGCGTTGTCTGCACTTGATCAAGATGCAGTTTGTAGTTCTTTGTAATTCAGTACTGCTCAGATCTAGTACTAGTGACTGTTGAACCATGAGCTCAAGTTACATTTCAGTGAGGACAAACACACAGAAGTCTTTTCAGAGATTCACTTGTGGGAGATAGGACTCCATGAAATAGGGGTCCTAATCATAGATTCATAGAATGGTTTAGCTTGGAAAGGACCTTGAAGATCATCGAGTTCCAACCCCCCTGCCTTAGACAGGGACATGTCCAGCCTGGCCTTGAACACCTCCAGGGATGGGGCCTCAACAACCTCTCTGGGAATGTTGAAACAGGGCTTTCAGACTCATTGAACTTTAGCACTTACAGACAGACCCTTGACCCAATTGTCAGACTCGGTTTGACTGGTACTGCAGGAACTTGGAAAGCTTATAATGTGAAAAGAGAAAGATTTGAGAACTGATCCACCACCTGTTGGCATCAGTACAAAAGTGCCCTTGGATTTTAGCTTGTTTTTAGGCACCACAGTGGAAGTCAGTAAGGACCAGCTGTTTCAAGGAGTTAGCAAAGGGACACATTCCCATTATCCCTCCTCCCATTTTTTATTTGAGTATTTGCTTGATTTTTGAAGGTTTGGATCTAAATTTCAGCATTTTGAATCCATAGTCAACTAAATAAATTAGTGGCCTGGGCCTCAGAACTGCTGAGCACCTGTATCTGTTACTTATATAGGTGCCTGACTAGAGGCTGCCGTAAGGCCTGAAAAGTACTGGTTTTAATGACTGTGGACTGATTGCTAAATGGTAGCAATAATTAAAAGCATACAGATTATGAAAACACACCTCTATTTGGAGAAGATTCATTAGATAATCTGTGGTGCTTTCTTAGGTATTTCCAAACATTTGCCCTATCCAGTAGGTTGACATAATAATAGATCTGTGCAATAAGGATGCGATCGCTGATAGGGTTACTCTTAGCCTTCAGATGAATATGTTAAAAAAAATATGCTACTTTGTTATCGTTGTTCTATCAGTATGTTGAAGCTGTGGTAAAAAAAAAAAAAAGAAGCAAAATCTCATTTATTTAGAGATATTGTACAAAAGGACAAGCTGACGTGCAAAGACAAAACAGTTTGAGAGCATCATGAGGCCCTTCCAAAAGGGACCACTCATGTGAAAATGAATATTGTGAAAAACTGGAAAAAAGAATGATCAGATTTAAAAGACTATAGAATTGCTCTCTTTTTCTCTCAGATGTATGTGGGAGAAATATTTTTATATAAGCTACTAACTTTAAAATACGGAGTCAGTTGCCAAACGTACTGTATTCCAACTGATATTTAAGAATTGGTACCTATACAAAAACTTTGCTGCAAATATTATACCTCCGGGGCTTGTGCAGGTATTCTCATTTGTCATCTATACAGATGTTTTGCACATTTTCAAAATGTGTTCTCATCTTACAAGCTTTCTCATCCTTCAGATGATTAATGCATTTGACACAAAATAAATGAGAGAAGAAATTATTTTCCATAAATATCCAGGATTTTAGTTAGGAATTTTGCATTTTCGTTGTTTGTCAATGTCATTATTATGCAATTCGACAAAATCTCTGCAGCTTCTTGCCTTGCAAAGGAAATGTCAGTCCTGAAATCTGGTAATGGAAGTTTACTTTTTCTTTCTAAAAGCTTTATTTTTATTTCTCACAGAACTTGTGGAATTTGGAAGTATTATGTATTATCAACATAAAATAAATTATCTTCTTGCTCTTCGGGTTTAGAAAAAAATTTGCAAATCAGTGTTGTTAACTATGTTTTTAATACAGTCTATAAAATAGAATGGAAATGTAGTTCTTGAAGAAAAGGATCATGAACCTCCTTGCCTATTCATTTCTATTTTCAGTTATGCCATGATTTTTGTGTACTTTTATCTGTGTAAAATAGTGGTCGATCTAATCCCAATGGAAGAAATCAAATTAAAGCATCAATATGATGTAGCTTTATGGGAGGTTGGATACAGTTCTTAGAGTTAGTTTATCTTAGTCAGTTACTTATTTTGTGATTTTTCTACGACAGTGGGTACAGAGCTATTTTGAGCATTTAATGTGCTAATTCTTCTCCTCGTGATTTAAGTCATAAAACTGCGCTGACCGAGAGAGAGGCATTATGAATGTATAATTTCAATTTACATTTGTTCTTAAAGCCAACAATATTGTGCTCTTCTAAAGCGGAGGTGTGTTAGTAACACCGGTTCATTGTTTGCATCTGAATGCAACGTATCTCATAGCACTGCTGTAGTTTAAAATTGGTTCATAGTGTCCAAGTTTTCTAATGAGAGGTGAAGACTGAGGCTTCACACTTAGTTAAGGCACTTTGAGCTGTTTCTTCACTGAGAAAATACATACAAGGTGATTATGTTTTCAAGAAGTCACTCTTTTACAGAGTTCTATTTTCCGATCATTTAATTGATTGCTTATAAAAAGAGCCAGCAACTCTTTTGCCTAGTTAAGTCTGACTTTGGGGTTTAGTTGCAATCATTTTACTGTGCATTTGGTCCTCTCCATATCTAAATTATTGCCTCTCCAATTCTTCCCTCGGAAGAGATTTTGATTTAGTGGAAAGCATGCTGTTTGGAGGGGCAGTTTGCTTGCTTTCCTGTTTTCAGAAAACATTAGAAGTAGAATGTGCTTTTTCCCAACACACCCGTATATTCATAACTTGCTAACTCATTACTGGGTATTTTCTGATATTTTATATCTAGAAATTACTGGTCCTTGCTCAAAGTGACTCCAGATACTTTCAAGTCTCAAGGCTGCCTAAACAATCAGTCTCTTCATTCTGTCTGCTTTCCCATCATTTTAACCTTTGTTGTAACCACTGCCAGCACTGTGAGTTTTGAAGGTGATTTTGTTAACCCTAGTGATCTTAGGCACAAACCCAGTGATTATTCTGATTTGATGTATTGCAGCTTCAATTTTACTA